GAGTCAGTGCTTTTAATATCAATTGTGGGTTGCACTTGGGCCACATTTTCATCGTTTTGCATGTTATGGCTTCAGCTGCTTCACAGATGTCAGCGTTGTTTATTGGGAGGTGTTTACGATTGTTGCCAATCAAGCCAAAGAAAAACCTAGAAAGTAAACACATGTGCTTTAAGAAAATTGTGGCCTTCAAAATAGTATTGGAACCGAGTTTTATGGACTTCTACCGACTTTATGAAGCTGTCTGATAAGGTGGTAGAGGCAAGCTATAATCAAGTTGAGTGGACGGCAAAGCAACACGCAGTCGATTCAGATGGTCAATAATGCCTTTCTTAACCAATACAATAAAATAAAAAAATTTAGGATGCTTTTTTGTACAGGTCAATGCACGTATGGGCAAAACATGCCTAAAAACCATTGCTTTGTAAAGTACTAAAAATGCAGCTATGCTTAATTTTTCATCTTGGATAATATTGGTAGAACACCTTAGAAATTTTAGTCATAAGTTTGTAATGATCACAGGGGGTGCAACTTGCAGCTGGACTAGAAACAGTGCAAATGTCAGATTGCCACTGCTCTAATTTGTTATGTAAACATGGTATTTTTTTGAAACTGGGTATTTGCTGCTTCCCTACTTTTGATTGATGGTGGGTGTGAAACCCTAACTCATGTTCAACATTTGAAGAGTCATGTAAAGCTGCTGCTTCTTCTTTCAGGGTTATTCCTCAAAGGCCAGGTTTGGGTTTCGCCGTGCAAAGACAACCAGAGACCAGCTAAAGGAAGCAGCTTTTGAACCAGCCACTGATACAGCCATCAAAAGTAAATGCTTTGATACATACTTCATTTGGCACCGTTACATATTTTCTACTCGTGTATATAGCCTGAATTCTATGCTGTCTACTAACTTAAGGGTGACCTGTTAAGCTTTCACATATTTTTTGTTATTCATGTCTATGGATAGATAAGTAAAATTTTATTTGTATAGCACCTTTCAAGACAAAGATGACTTAATTTATTAATGTTTCTTAAGTAATAAAAGCAAGACTGAACCTGAGATTTGACATGAACATCCAAAGTGAGAGTGGAATCAAAAGTTAGCCCAAGGTTTCTGATAGATGATTTAACAAGTGTTGAAAGGGGACCAAGAGATTTCATTATCACATACTGTTTACACCATATGTCATACATTCAGGTGAGAAAAAAAACTGTCTTACCTGTGATTAATTGGCTGGGGGTGGGACTCAAAACCCAGTATTAGATAAATAACAAGTATTTTAAAATGTAAATCCTGCAATGCAACTTCATTTTTAGAAAAATGTGAGATTTCATGGTTTGAAATGGTTTTGTTATAGTAAATCTTTTTTCCTCTGAGGCAAAAATGTAAACTGTGTCTCAAATGATTTTTGTGTTGTGTCTGAAGTCGATAGCATGGGGAGAATGATACTGGCTGGAGGTGCAGCAGTTGGCCTTGGAGCTCTGTGCTATTATGGACTTGGCATGGCTAATGATATCGGTGCCATAGAGAAAGCAATGTGAGTAACAGATTTATTTTACCAACAGCACTTGAATTTTATTTTGAAATGCAGACCAGTAGAAAAGTGATGGTATCATACAAACTAAAGGCTTCTTTTCATCTTTGTACAGGATCTGGCCTCAGTATGTGAAGGACCGGATCCACTCTACCTACATGTACTTTGCAGGCAGTGTTGGGCTGACAGCTCTGTCAGCTGTAGCTGTGAGTAGGACCCCAGCTTTAATGGGTCTGATGATGAGAGGATCCTGGCTGGTAAGCTTTACAATACTTGCTTGCTTTTTTGTTTTTTAATGGTCTTCACTCCACTGCACCATTATTATTTTAACCTTAGAATTACATATTACAGAGCTTGTTTAGTCAAATACCAATTTTTAAACCGTAGTTTATCTGATGTTCTTGAATTTTTCCGTTGAACTTATTAATATGATGATTTGTTTGTTCCCACCTAGGCAATTGGAGCAACTTTTGCTGCTGTGATTGGTGCGGGCATGCTGGTCAGGTCAATTTCATATGAGCACAGCCCAGTGCCAAAACATCTTGCTTGGATGCTCCACGCAGGTTTGTGTTTTTAAATATCTTTTAAGAAATTTCTCAGCCCTGTTGTCTCTGGTATGTAGTTGCCTTGGGTGAACACTAGAAGGCAGGCTTAGAACAGGTTAGAGGAAAAAGCTGCTTCAACAATACACTAGTTGATGGCACTAATATCATTTGTTTTTTAAAAGAAATCGTTTTGTTTTGAACTGTTTTTTGTTTTTTTTCAATAATTGATAAGGTGTGATGGGTGCTGTGATTGCCCCCCTCACTCTCCTGGGAGGGCCTCTGATGGTGAGGGCTGCCTGGTACACCGCGGGCATCGTGGGAGGTCTGTCTACTGTTGCAATGTGTGCCCCAAGTGAGAAGTTCCTCAATATGGGAGGGCCATTGGCTGTTGGACTTGGAGTGGTGTTTGCCTCCTCTCTTGGTTAGTATAAAGCACGTTTATTTCATAAATCCTGTTTATAGATAGCCATGAGTATTACAAGCTAGTGAACATTCAGGCTGAAAATGTTCCTGATAATATTATCTTTGTATTTCACTCTGTGGTTTCATTGAAAAGTATAAGGGAGCGGCTGCTTTGTTGTTGTTGTTGTTGTTGTTGTGTTGTGGGGGTTTTTTTTGTTTGTTTTTTGTTTTTTGTCATTGTTGAAAGTCTGATCTCCAACCTAATGCAATGCACTCTATTTATAGGGTGTCACATATTTAAACAGCAGTGTCCTTTTTGCATCAAAGTGGTTCTGTGCTGAAGTACTTATATTATGATAAACAATTTCTAAATGCACATCATTCCACTAAATGCTTTAAGACTAAAGCAAAGTATTGAATGCAGGATTTTGACTGTATTTATTGTGTGTTTGTTCCTGTAGAACCACACAAAGCTTGACATTTTCAATTCAATTCAATTCAATTTTATTTATATAGCGCCAAATCACAACATAAGTCGCCTCAAGGCGCTTCATTTTCATAATGACAATATAAATACAGCTTAAAAACCTAATCTGATAAGTAAATTAGTTTTTCTTTCTTCATCCAAATGATTTTTGATTCCCATGAGATTACAGTAGATATCATTTTTGTGTAGAAATGCATTTTAATACTATACAGTAATTAAATGCTAAAAAGTAATACATAGCACAGTGTTTGTGTGTTGTCAGGGGTAACACATATGTTCAAATTAAACCGTAGTGGAGTCGGTGAAGTGAAATGTATATTGGGAAATGTACCTGTAAAAGGGCTTTCTCAGTCTTCTCCGTATCTTCTTATTGGATACTTTGTAAGAGAAGGTGTACACCTACGGTGTAGTTTGGGTATAAGAAGTAAATAGAAAATGGGGTGGATAGTGTGCGTCTCTGTCCAGAAAAGCAAAACAGAAGTTATTTCAAAATTCAGTTCACTTTGCAGTTAAGACATATTTATGAATTAATATAAATGTATAAATAACTGCAAGGTGGTTAACAATTGAATCTCCCAAGTTAACGTCTGTGACAGCCAGCTACAAGTTTCAAATGTTTTTACAGAAGCTACAGCCAAACATCAGATTCATACTCGCATATGTGTGTTGTGCAGTATTAGAGCTGTATCATTACCTACTTATTAGTTTTCTATATTGTAACTTTTAGTTGACAGCTGCACAGAAATTGTACTTGTCAGACTCAATTTGAACTTTCTTTTGTCTTCTTCAGGATCAATGTTCCTGCCACCCACCTCAGCATTTGGAGCAGGGCTCTACTCCATTGCTATCTATGGAGGCCTGGTCCTGTTCAGTATGTTCCTCCTCTATGATACACAGAAGGTTATCAAGAAGGCAGAGACACACCCACTCTATGGCGTACAGAAATATGACCCTATCAATGCGTAAGTCACTTCAGGAATTAAAGTACACTAAAAATAACTGGTTTTGAAGATTATTGTTGGTAATCTACTTGTGCCGATATGTGGATCTGATACATTTATTTAATCTTACAGGTGTATGGGGATTTACATGGACACACTGAATATTTTCATCAGGCTGGTGATGATTCTAGCTAACGGCGGTAGCGGCAGGAGGAAGTAAACACCATCATGACTCGAGCTTCACTTTTATCTTCCACGGAGCCTGAGACAGTCATGTTTACTGCTAGCAGCATAAACCAGATGACTGATGTTATCTTATAGAGCCAAATCCTATCTAACTGCTAGATCAACATGAATGCTTTGAAAGCATGTAAAGATGTGGATTGCACTGTGTGGTAAAGATACCTGTCAAAGTAAAGAAGATAACACAGAGATCTTACTTTGATTTTTGAAAGTATCTGGTTTATCCTGGGGCGCTTTAACAGATGAGTTAAATCTGTCAGTTTAATTTTGCATCCCTCAGAAGTCATTTGTATTATTCTCTGGTTTCTATTTATTTCCACTTGGTGGTGTTTCAGGTTTTATGTGGAGTGAAAATACAGAAAAATGTCACAAAACAACCAAAAGGCCACATATGTCAACCATAGATTGGTCCACATTCACAGTACAATAAACAGACTGTGCTGGATGTAATTGCTGAAGAAATTCTCTGGTATAGCACTTATGTAATGGGTTAAAGAGGTTCGTAATGTGTTTTTTTTGGGGGGGGAAATAAAAGTAATTTAAACAAAGTAAATATGTCCATGTGATGTTTTTGGCACATGTTGCTGATGGAGATTTTTTTGGAATTTTGTCTGCACTGGATAACGTATTGGGAATGATAACTTAGTTAAGTGACATGCAATACTGCCCACAGTCAAATAACTATACTTGTGCTGTATATGCATTATAATAATGCATATTAATAAACTGTTTTGATCAAGTAATTACGAGTTAATTATGATCGATTAATGGATATGTGGTTTATATTTCAGGGTATGATATTGAAAAAGGACATTCTACAGGAGTGCTTCTACTTCTGTTGCTGTACACACTGTCATGGCAGTTTGTAAAATTGTCATGACCTCTAATCTGTTGATTGCTCATTCAGAACATGAATTTCATGGCATGTTCCATATTTCATACATCCATTGTATTTTATATTTATTTATTTATTCCAAATATGTTAGTTGGGGCACTGAAAACAACTCTGTTCAGTTTAAACATTTAACAAAGAACTTGGTTAGTGTTGGGAAATGGCTTTGTGGAGTTTTGGAATTAAAAGCTACTCATTTAGGTTTAGGAAAAAGATCACAGTTTGGGTTAAAATACAACAGTTTTTCTACAGCTGTGGTTTCTTGGTTGTCACGGTGACATGTCCCTCCTTTGGACAGCATGCAAATTCATGCGGCTATGAAAAATATGGGGGGAGCGAGTCATGAACATGCACAGATAGATCTTTTGCTGTGTGACTGTTTCAAATTTTGCAGCCCTTAAGATTAGACCATTCTAAAACTTGCTCTTCTTAAGTAGGATTATAGTTTCTATTTAAGTTTCCAAAATACATGTTCTGTCACTTGACTAAAGTTATTAGATAACAAAGCAAATTTTGGGATCCAATGCAATGAAAATCAGATATTCAGTTTCTTTGTGCTTTCCACCTCTGTCACCCCACTAAAAACAAACAAAAAGCAGCCCTAAAACAAACAAAGTATATTAACATTATAGATAATATGAGTCTTATCACAGAAAAAGTTTTACATTTTACAGAAACACTGGGATAAATAGTAGAACCGTGGTTGAATTCTTTCTAGAAGTTTCTGTTACTGTTACAGCCCACAGGTGCACTCGTACACAATGAAATGCTGCTATTCTTAGTAACACCTGTGCTTACGTGCCGTGTCGACGGTGCAGTAAAAATATCTGCTCTGGCCAGTAAGTCAGAGCGATAAAGTTCAGTGACCTGTAAAACAAGCTTAGGGCACCTTGTAAATTTAATTGGTGTAAGCTGTGGTCTAAAAAAATTGCAACTAAATAACCTCAAACTTAAATATTTTTATGTTTATTTAGCTCTCCCCACTTCAGACCAGACTGAGACCAGCGGGAGTCCACCTTGTATTTCCCTATAAACAGTCAGCGTGTTGCAGCAGATGACAAAGGCTTAGTGTAGTAATCCTCTTGTGTACCATCTGGCTGTTCATCTAAAATTAAACCTTCAAACCAGGGCACTTGCAACAGATGCTAACATCTGTAAATATGCAGGTGTTTCATTAAAGCACATGCACGTGGCACACGCAGCTGTCAGGCATGGTTTTAAATCTCACATAATGTTCACGTTTAGGACACGTATGATTCATATATACTGCGTATTGAAAAATCCCACAGATGGGAGGGATAAAGAGGGCAATAATGGATGAGCCTGCACAAAGCTCCAGTTTGCAGAAACCTGCCATTACTGGGGATATGTGACTGCCAGTCATTTTCAAATTGATGACCAATATTTGGTAGAGTTCCAAGGCTGTTGCTGCATAAAATAGGCATGAAGCAGTTTGTGATTAAAAGTTCAGATGACAGTAATCTGTGCTGGACGTTTTGTCACTTCAACCCGTGACACGGTAGAAACTGATGCGTCATCAGTGCTATTTTTATTCTGTTGTCAGTGTTTTGTTTTTAAAAAACATGATTGTTCAAGCAAGCAGCATGACTCTAAGGATGGCATCTGTTAGGTCTATTGCTCTCTAAGCAGGAGCTATGTCCAGGGGTGGGGCATGGGGTGGTATAGCCCCTCCCCAGTTATCTCCTCTGCAAAAGCCACTGGACAAGACTACTGTGAATTGTTCAATACTCAGCACCACCGGATAAGATAGATAACTTACTTAACAGAAGTTACAGCTTTAACAGAAGTTACCGAAGTTACTGACTTTTTTAAGTGCTTTTATTTAATGTTAGTTGTTTGAATGTTTGATTCACATTTTTAACTCCATCGAATTTATTTTAAAGCTTTATTTACTAATTATTCTACCATTTATTTAATAAAAGGCCTCTATGCTGTATTATTAGTATTATTATAAGCTATGCACAAAATGAGTAAATAAAATCATATTCAGCTACATTAGAATGACAAACTAATTCATTATAAATAATAATGATCCAGTAATATAATGCAGTAAAGGGCATATGCATATTGATCTTTTCTTTCATATTATATTATTTTGGTATTTGACAGTGGTACTTATCAAAATAATATTTTTATGTTTTTCTACTGGTTAATCCACCTCAAGCTCTTTAATCAAAATGTTAAAATACAAAAATATAATAAAAAATATTATATAATGCTACTGTACATCTATTATTGTGAATGTAGGAGATCTAATTAATAATGCTGAGTTTCTATGCTTGTGCTCTAACATTTTTCTGCCTTTAATGAAAATGTTCACCCAGGGACTATTTTTATACCTGTGAATACAGGAAGTGCACACTCTACACCTTGGAATACAGTTAACACGGTAGCTCAAATGACAGGCAAACGTGCAGTCACATGACATGAAATGGTGCAAAACTCTCTCTTTAACTGTTGTCAAGGTTGCAAGCTCAAAACGTCATACTTGATTTTTCCACTCTGCTCTTCAGAGTGTCAATTTTTTTTTCTTTCATAAAATCAGCTCTTCTTAATCGAGCATTATGCTTTGTCTTTCGTCTGATTTGTCTGCTGGTAATTCATATCGGAAGGATATATTACAGTTTTAATTTTGTATTATTTATTTTATTTTTTATTTGTTCTTGTTTTTGTTTTTTGTTCGGCCACATGGTGTGATTGGCTTCTCTCCTTTTTATTTATAGGGTTTTAACAAGCCCATTAGTCACATATAGCCAAGGTGGCCTAAACTGCCCGCTGTTGCCAACCTTGCCTGCTCATTTACCAACACTAGCCTTAGCTGCACTCATGCACTTACAGCCAATAAGCTTTCTTTAGATCTTGCAGTCTACTTTCCCCAGGAAACCTAGTGACCTGCCAGGTGGCCCGTCTCAGCACAAAAAAACATGACAAAACAAACCGCTGATAATAACAACCAAACAAAAATCTGAGCTGCAAACATTTCCTATCAATGTTTCCAGACTAAACATGGATTCTGTGCCTCATGTGTGCGCCTGTCAAATGTGTGGCGAGGTGCGATGATCACACCATATTGTGTGAAACTTGAACTCTCGTCTCTCAATGATCCAGGAGAATTTGGAGTGAGAGCAATGTGGTAGAAGATGTGTGCAGAGAGAAGGGATGCGTCACTGGATTAGTGCCTGAGACGCTGTCCCAGCCTCTTCCTACTTCTGAGCCTGCTGAGACGCTTCAAGAAGGGCACGACACTCACTGCTCGCTTTCCCTCCACCAAGCCTTCCACATGAGCCAGCCAAGCCTTACCTCCCCACCAGGATGAAGAAAGAAAAGAAAACGCATGCTTTACTATTTCTCCTTATGCTTCACTTCACCTCGGGTAAGGCTCTGCTTTTCTTTTACTGTCTTTGTTGTGTGTGGTTAAGACTTCTTGCCTCGCACTTATCTGGTTAATCCTCTAACACAGAGAGGGCATGTCTGTCTTAGTGTGGACTTTCATGTTGCTTGTACTTCATAAATTTCAACATGCAATGCTGTTTTTGTCTGGGTCTTAATACTACAGCCTTATTATTTCTAATTTAACTCTTTTCTCCTCCCTGCTTTCAATTCCTGCCCTTGTTAGCAAGTGAGTGCAACTCTTCTCACTGTAAAATAATAATTAAGGAGAAAAATAATTTGATGTGGTGAGAGACATTTGTGGGGTTTGTACAGTGTGTGGAGCAGCTTCCTTTTAGATTAGGTCATTGTTTTTCTTTTATATCTCTCTTCTGCTCAAATAATGTGAATCGTCTTTTTCTTTCTTATTTTTTTTTTATCACAAAGGGCAATCAGACTATGCTCCATATTTTTACGATAATGGTCCCAGCAGTACAAATGGAAATATGGCCTTGTTCAGCATCTCTGAGGATACACCCGTTGGTAAGGCTCCCGTAAAATTACATTTTTAAAAAAAATTATTATTGTTATAATTTAATATTTTTAAGTTTGGTATAATTTGAGCATGTTTTTACATTTAGTGTAGTTTGAGATGTGTGTTTTAAGTGCCTAAGTGTTGTATGAAATGATCTCACATGGTGCTAAGGCTCCAGCTAATCGCTATAAGATCTTTTGGATTGTGACGTACATCACAGTCTTACGGGAAGAAAACATTATGGGTAGAGGCTCATCTGACCTAACCTGTCAAACGTGCCTTTTACACTAGTGCTGCATATAGACATGTCACGTTTCTGCCCCATTTCAAAGGTTTTGTCGCTGTATGTGTTCTTTTCTCATAGGAACACAGATATATGTCTTGAATGGCACAGATCCTGAGGAAGATCCAGTACGATATGGTCTTGCTTTTGAAAAGGGCTCTACAGAATATTTTAGAGTGGACCCAAAGTCAGGAAATGTGACTCTAATTCAGGAGCTCGACAGAGAGGTAGGCATTTTAATAAAGACTCCTGGTTTGGAAACACACAAAAAAAACCCACTTTGGCTCAAAGTGATGTGACATCTTTATTTTTCATAGAAACAAGATGAAATCTCAGTGCACGTGAGCATAACGGATGGCCGTAATAAAGTAAGCTCTATAATCTACAGTGCAATTCAGTTTACAGTCACATTTTAATACTGCAATTTAACTGGAAACTCTATCATAAATATTAGGATTAAATAGTACTTCAAAAAAGTGCCATGACAGCCTGTAAAATCTATTTAACTGTGCATCATGACATTTTCTCTGATCGCTATTTAGATTATTTCTCTGCAAACAATGTCTTTTTTTTTTATAAGCTGTAGCAAAAGCAGCTGTTTTGGAAATTTGTAATTGCTTTTCACATGTGTTTCAGGTTGTTGAGACAGTGAGAGTCTTTGTCACGGATACCAATGACGAGCCACCTGAATTTCTAAATTTGCCTTTTATTATTGATATTCCAGAGGTATATTATATAAAATAACTATACAGTTACATACATGCATTCTAGAGTGTTTTTTCCTGAATGTAATAAAAGTGTCAAACTAATTAAATAATCAAAATTCAATAATGTTTGAAAATTATTGAACTTTTTGCTCCTTTACCAGGACACTGCTCCAGGAAGTAGCATCTACAGAGTCCAAGCAGTGGATAAAGATATGGGCTCAGGAGGAAGTGTTTCCTATTATCTACAGGTAACTTCACAGCCTCACTGTAATGTGCTTTTGTTACCATGGCAACTTCAAAACAACTTGAGTAGTAACTCCCAAATTGCAAATATTTTTGAAGTTGAATTGAAGTAAAGATGCACAAAGTCACCAGTAAAATTCAGGCACGTTAAAGAAGCTGTTGTGAATTTTAAGAAGTTTTATTTAAACTCAGGTGAAAAATGCCAGCCACATATCACAAATTAGAAACTATATAATGCACAAAGATCCAAATATCATAATTGATTAATTCTGGCTACTGCATCTATGTTTACTGAGCCATCAGTCAGAAAAAAGCACTCTCCAAAATATAGCAGCTAGGCTTCTACGGCAGCACGTGCGCTGAAAAGTGACCCAGTGTAACCTAGGCTAAAGTTAAAGCTTTTTTTAGCCACGTTGCACATGGCGTCCAGATGAATACTGAGTTGATTGTAAGAGAGTACTAATCACAGAGAGGGCTCTTTATAGCTTTACACCTCTTTACATCTTCAGCTCTCTTAACTCTCACATCCTGGAATACTCCCTGAAGTCTGCCAACACCTTTATCCTCTTAGAGCCCAAAATGTATTTAAAACTGTTAACAAGTTGGGTTTTTTTCATAATTTTAGCATTTCATTTTTTTCATATCTTAATTTTTCTGTTTGTTCTAGGTTTTTTTTTTAAGCTCTTCTATGGTTTGCTTCAATTTCTGCTTTGCAATCTATTTAAAAATCAATTACATTTTTTATTACCAAGACTGCAATGCAAAATAAGCAAATAGCAACATTTTTAACTAGCGTTGTATGACCCTAACACTCAGGGATAACCAGAGGTCGACCTGACATCACGAGCATTGCGCGTGATGGAGGGAGGAAAAGGGCATATGAGTGATGGGACAGTGATGCAGGGAAAGATTAATCTCATACCATAGAGCAGTCTAGAAATCGTGTTACTTTAGTGGATTAAATTTCAATTACATTTGAGCATGGCATTGAAAGCTTAATAGGGGCTTAGGTTTGGTCTGGGCCAACAGCTGACAGCACAGTGGTTGTTAGTCTCCATGTGTCAATTGTGAGACAAAGCTACCCTGAAATGCCAAGGTTAAAATGAGCCAGGCTAAAATTGATCGGTACCATATCAGAATTAGCTTTATTGGTTTGCTAAATTTAAGTCGAAATAAAGCACTCCTACTATCTTTATTAACTGTGACTGTTATATTACCAGACCTCCCCATTCACCAAGTTCACCATTGATGGACACAGTGGGATCCTCAGAGTTAAACCTGGTGAGACTTTGGACTTTGAGACCACACCAACGCATTTTGTGACAGTAGTTGCAAAGGTGAGAGGTCACTGTGACACTTTTACATTTGGGTTGTGCCTTTATTTGCTTAATCAAATGGTCTTAATACATGTAAACACAGTAAGTAGCTTAGTTTGCAGGTATTTCTGTCCTCAAATGTAAAGGATTTTCAACTTTAAAGTCATGTATTTTTGACATGCAATTGCATCAATCATGGGGTTTAAAAAAGATAAATGAAATTACAGTTTAAAATTATTTAATTCTAAGTAGAAAATTACATAAAATCTAAAAATTAGTTATTGGAGTTTATCAATAACATTCCTTCTGATACAATTTGTTCATATAGAACCAAATCCTGCATATTGTAAAAAAAACAACAACAACAAAACAACAACAACAAAAACAAAAACAACATTATACTAAATACACACATAACATAATTATGTTCTATGAGCAACCCATTGCAGTGACTGAGAGGAAAACTTCCTTTTAATATGAAAAAAAACTGCTGCAGAACTAGATTCAGAGTAAAAGTTGTTTTACCTTCACTGATTTGGGTGAGAGAAAAGCAAAGAGTGAAAAAGGGGAACAGGGAGCTAAAAAAAAAATCTGTTGGGAAGTGGTGAGATTTTAAGTTGCTGGTCTGCTGACGCACTGAAAGTCCTGCTCCCAAAAATAAGTATAATTTATCACTGTGAATAATAGTTGGTGGTGAAAGCTAGTTTATTTTTTGTAGCCTCGGCTCTTGGCTACTTAAATACCTGGCTGTGTAACATTTAGTAGATAATCCAGTTATTAAAAAGGTAAAGCTATGATGTATAAAAAATATTATATTATAGTGTTCCCAATTAAAAATGAATTTCATTGCCTAACTTTTGATTTTTATTAAGGTGCAAGTTTTTCCTAGGTTTTTTTGGCCTTTTTCAACTTTAGTCGATAGACACAGTGAAGATAGGACAGGAGAACAGAGGCAGAGAAAGAGGGGAAGACATGCAGCAAAGGACCCTGGGTTGGACTCGAACCCGGGCCAGCAAATCTCAGCTGTATGGCACGTGGTCACCTGCTCAATGCACTGAACTAAAGTGGCAAATCAGACAATAATTGCTTCTAAAATTATACTAAACCATGAACATGTGTCTAAAATCGTATGCATGTTCTTTCTGCACTTTGTGATTTTTAGCAAGTTAAGAAAAAACAAACTCTTAACTTTTTCAAGCAAGACATCTCTTTAAAGTGCAAGTAACATAGCATTTATTAGGTTAGAATACTAAAAAAATGTATATTTTTGGTTAAACTAAATTTTTAGTGTTTTTTGTGAGCTGGCTTCAAGCTGTTGTGACAGATAACATGTAGCAGAGATCCCATAATCCCAACATGGCCAAATGTAAAATAAACGTAACCATGTCTTTGATTAAATATAAAGGGTTAGCTAATTATGCCATGTGGTAACTCTGCTTTTACCTTGTTGTTGTCACAGGATGGAGGTGGAAAGTACAAGGGGAAGCATCAGGTGTTGACTTCCACAGCCACAGTAACAATTAATGTTATTGATTCCCAAGACATGCCTCCATACTTTGTAGGAACACCATATTTTGGATACATCTATGAGGTCTCTGTTCCTGTAAGTTCTTGTCGCATTCACTGAATTAAATTTGATTTCAGTTATTGCTTTTGTCTCCATTATGTTGATGTACTTTTTTACTTCTAGGGCTCTGAAATATACACAGTGTACGCTAAAGATGGTGACCAAGGCAATCCTAACCCGATACATTATTCCATTATTAATGGTAAGAACAATAGCAAAAAGAGAAAAGTGCAAGATTTAGTTGCTTGTTCGTAAGGCAAAGGTGTGTTACTGTGTCTTCTTTTAGATTATGATCAGATTTCAAACAAAACTTCTATCAACACCTTTCAGGTAGTGATGGTGTGTTCGACATAAATAGCACAAGTGGTTGCATCACCCTGACAACTTTTCCATCTTTGCTGAAAAATGAGCTGTATGAAATCAAAGTCAAGGTAACAAGTTATTTTCTACTTATCTTCATGTTTAAAAGAAACTTTTCACCGCAGTAGCTTTTGAAACCACCTTCAGCAGCCATAAGTTGAACGGATAGATTTTTTTCTTTGTACGACTTTATTAGTCTCTCACATGGTTGTGGATGAAGTTTGGTCCACTCTTTACAATATTGCTTCAGTTCATTGAGGTTTGCAGGTATTTGTTTATGCACAGCTCTCTTAAGTGCCAATCAAAGTATCTTAATCAGTTTTAGGTCTGGCCTTTGAGTGGGCCATTACAGCACCTTGATTCTTTACCTTTTCAGCCATTCTGTTGTAGATTTATTGCTGTGCTTAGAATCATCATCGTGGTCCATGACCCAAGTTTGGCCAAGCTTTGTCTGTCAGGCAGCTGGGCTCACATTTGACTCTAGAAAGTATAGAAAGGAGTTCATGGTTGACTCAATAATTGCAAGGTGTCCCAGTCCTGTGGCTGCAAAACAAGTCCAAATCATGACCCCTCCACCACCATGTTTCACAGTATGAGGTGTTTGTGATGATATGCTGTGTTTGATTTTCACCAGATGTAGTGCTGTGGATTAAGGCCAAACATTCACTTTGATCTTGTCTAGCCAAGGGACATTGTTCCAGAAGTCTTGGAGTTTCTTCAGACACAACTTTGCGAACCTAAGCTGTTCTGCTATATTCTTTTTAGACACAAGAGACTTTCCTCTGGCAAACCTTCTAAAACGTGTTTGTCAGGTTTTGCCCAGCCTTGGGGCGTATTTTCTGGGATGTCCACTCCTAGGAAAGTTGCTACATTGTGTTAACATACACCTGAATGCTCCAGACCAGCAAAATTCCAAAACTTGTTATCGTACAGAGGTGGTCTCGCTGATGATCGGTTAAATAAATGCATTTGATTAGAATCATCTTGCTGCTTCTTCTTCTGCTTCTGGAATAGTTTTTAACAGGACTGCATAGAGTCCCATGAAAACCTTTTTTCACCGGTGCTTCTTACTCTCATTGACTATAATTTTATTTACTTGTGTATTTTTTAAACTGAAGGCATCTGAGGTAGGCCCAAACAATGAGCTCCAGGACTATGATGTTACCACAGTGACTGTCCGTGTGGTTGATCTCAACAACCATCCCCCAACCTTTTATGGAGAAAATGGGCCACAGAACAAATTTGAAGTCACCATGTATGAGCATCCACCTGCAGGGGAGATCCTCCGTGGCTTCAAGATCACAGTCAACGACTCTGATCAGGTACATGAATTCCCAAATTGCAAATATCTAACTCATCTTTGATTCATTCCTTGGACATGCAGCAGTATGCATATTAAAATTTAGAGAATATTAGCCAGTTGACAGATCCATTTAAAGAAATTACGTACAAAGTTAACTAAATATGTGAAAACAAACGTGTTGTGCAATAATGCAGCCCCAAAGTTGCAAATATCCAGCAAATGTATTGAAAGTAAAAATGTCACTCACTATGCCACCATGGTTAGTCTCCTCTACCTGTTTATAATAGCTCATGTAGCATTACATGACACTCTTATACTCTTATTTATGTGGTGGCAACAGCTCAGGAGGTAGCACAAGTTATGTAATAATGTTAATAATAAGTTGGTGCTTGCTCCAGTCTGCATGCGAAATCCTTGGACTAACTGCGAACCCCAAGTTGCATCTAATGGCGTGTGAGTGTGTATGAATGTATGTCAGAAAGCACTTAAGCATAAAAAAGTGTTTGTGTGAATGGGTGAATAAGACATGTTGTATAAAGCGCTTTTAGTGCTTAGGTAGAGTAGAAAAGCGTTCTAAACGAACCAGTGAGTTTATGTAATGGATTTCTGTATTGTGCTGACATTTTTAGGGAGCAAATGCCAAATTTAAACTGAGGCTAGTTGGGCCGAGCCGAGTGCTTCGTGTGGTTCCCCAGACAGTCCTGAATGAAGCACAGGTGACCATCATTGTGGAAGACACATCCGGCATCGACTATGAAAAGGGGCCAACTCTCTCTTTTAAGGTGAGGCGCCGTATGGGCAATATTACAACATTACAATACGTTATTATTAACAAGTGTCGAAGAAATAATCCTGTTAGTTATTTCACTGGGTGGGTAATCTCTTTTGGTTACTAGGAAATATGATGAAGACCTGCTGTATTATTTGATTAATGGCTTTAGCCCATGAATTAACTGCATTTTCATTAACTTAAGCTTTGCCTGTATACTAATACTTTGTGAATGTTGCAACATAAATACATAGCTCACCTTTTGTAAACAGCTAAAAAGATAATTTACTCCAATCATTTGTGCTTGTAAAGGACCCAGGCTAAAAATCCATCTATCAATATGACTGTAGATAAGCAATAACAACATGAGCGCCCTAGCAAGTCTCTGATTTATTTCACTGACTGCAGTGACATTAATTTTAAAAATCATAAATCAAATCTGAAAATATTTTCTTTGCTTGGTTTACAGTTTCACAGAGTAGCCAGTGTGGCTTTAGATATCTGTCTATCCATGAACTCATTGACTATGAGTTGACTAAAGCTTTCAGCACTAATTTAATCACTCTGAGTGTGTCTTCCTGCAGCTCCTGGCAGTGGAGATTGACACTCCTGAACGGTTCAGCGCAACAGCGGACATAGTGATCAACCTGCTGGACACAAATGACAACATCCCTAAATTCACATCTGAGTATTACATCGCCAGGGTCCCTGAGAACTCTCCTGGAGGCTCCAGTGTTTCATCTGTAACAGTGAGTCAATCACAGTTAAACTCAGCTTTAACCTGATCAAAGTGATTATATAATCCATCTTTCCTCTGTTAAATGCATATTGCTCAGCACAGTTCATTAGATAAAAGCAGATTGGTGCCAGACAAAAACAGGCTTAACGCTCTCTTGCTTCAGTTTGCTACTCCTGGTTATGAAATTTGTTATCTCCATGTCACAATCTGGCATATGTCCTATGTTACTCCTCATCGAGGGAGATTATTAAAAAAAATATTGGCACATTTGTCCCTTGCTTGTCATCATACTGTAGAAACCCTGCAACCAGGCAATGTGTCCAAGTTAAGCAGTGAGAAGTAAAAAGCTTAATTTTGCTTCAAGGTTAATCATGTTGACCGATGCTTGCTGAACATCCCCTCGCAACACACTGTATATGAGCTTAAGACTCTATATAGTTGTCCACAGGGGGTTTTAGTAAAAATAAATGACACAATAAATTATTTTCAGTCACCTTAAAGTAATCATATTTATTTAAGTTACATATCTATACACTATTATGATGTAATTTTCCAAATAAGTAATTAAAATTTTTTAAAGTGTAATTTTTAAATATTTTGTTGTGTAAGCATGAGTATGTATGTGTGGTATGTAGGAGTATGTAGGTGTATAATCGCCTTCCTTTTTTTCTCTGTAGGCAAACGATCCAGATTCTGGGTCTTGGGGTGAAGTCAAATATACGATTTATGGATCAGGATCTGATTTGTGAGTATAAACCTTTCATTGCTGCCAATTTAGGTTCATTCTGATCAGATCTTTAATTCTGGCATTTCCACAAAATGCATTTCACAGCCTAAAGTTATTTTGAAAGTATGAGTCAAAAATGCTCAGAGGCTCAGGGTGTTTAGTGCCAGCAGGACACTAGTCTTGAGTCATCTTTGTGTCTTTGATGAAAGAGGTAAGCGGGAAACTGGTTTGATTGGCCCCTCTGCTGCACAAACAGCTCGCTCTAAAATGGCTGTAAGATGCTGGCTAATCTCCTAATTGGATTGGTAGGTTAAAAATAGAGAGCCTGGCCCATCGCACATAGGCAGAGCCAATTAATATGCAATGTGACAGCTGGAGCCACAGAAACGGCAGCTTTGAGAAGCAAGGCAACATACAGCGAAGGGAAAGTGAGAATTTATGCCTGTCTGCAGGCTGCAACCTGAGTTAATTGTGTGAAAGTTATCAGTTCCAAGAAAACTTGTGAAATTTCACAGCGAAAAAAAAGACAGAAAAGTCTGCTGAATAAAATGGCTGCATGCCCAATGTTGAACTAGAAGGCACTCAGAAAGCTCCTGGCAAGCTTTAAAATGAGTAAACCTGCTGTGTGTACGAGCAAGTATTTATTCCTTATTGTATCCCTGAAATTGTTATGAATGTGTTTTTAGGTTAGAGAAATATAACAGGTGGTAAAAAAAATTAAGCCCTACAGGGTATAGTCAAGCTCTCCTGATTAGTGATCACTTTAAAACAACCTCTGGAAAGTCTGAAAATCTCAAATATACATTCACAATGTTTGAAATGACAAAATAGTTAGAAGCTTTATGGTTCCAGATCCTCAGAAAACACAAACAGTGTATAACAATAAGAAAAAATTGAAAAAAAAAACTTGGCAATTATTGTGTAAATCAATATTTCTCTACAGATGTACATATGCATTTCATATGCTGGAGATCTGTCTTTAAGGAAGCAACTCATTAAACATATTCTCCCTGCAAATCAGGGTTCAGGATTTTTCACCCAAGCAAATAAGCATAAGCAGCAAAAATGTACAAGTTTGTTTTTCCTACACGTTTTTTAAATCAACTGGATTAACATCTGAAGCCTTACAGTACAACACGTCTGTCCAACGAAGGCTGTAAAGCTGTTTTTTATAGCAAAGTGTGAGTCATGTAGAGATTCACAGGGAGCAATGAAAATCTGTCACTTGAGCTGTGAATTACGATGCCTGTATTAGAAACGCCTGGTTAGTTGAGATGAAGCTGGAGATGGACATCTGTGGTTGTGACTCATGCACTGTGTGATCTGAACTGCAGGTTTTCCATTAACGCTTCATCAGGCCTCATCACCACACAGCCCTGGACCAGCCTGGATGCAGAGGTCAGGTCAAAGTACAACTTTTATGTCAAGGCTGAAGATTCAGAGGGGAAGTACAGCTTGGCTGAAGTCTTTGTCACAGTCACTGACATGAACGACCACGCGCCAGAATTTGATGAAGTGCTCGTGGAGAAGACGATGATTATTGGCACGCCTGTCAAAATAGAGGTACATTTTGCTTTGAAATTGATCTACCTCGTCTCTTTTAGCTTAATCTGTGATTCTACTTTCACCAAGTTTCAGCTTTTTTGTTGTAAACTGAATGTTTTGGGAGCTTAGATAACAGTAAACATTCAATGTATTGAGCTTTGGTTCTAGAAAAGTTATGATTGCATAATTTGGCATCAAAAGACTAAGATTTTGGTGTGTAGAGCTTTCTAAATTTGTTAATATTCCATGGCTACAAATACAAAAAACACTATTTGCGCCTTTCTGATAAAGACTACAAAAAACAGCTGTTTAAAATGTAGTCAGTTGTGTGGATTAACTAGAAACGTGTAACTAAATTAAATAAAATTTGATTTCAAATCTAAGGAAAATCTGAAGCCTGCAGTGGATATTCTGCATTAATACCTGGTTTAAAACACTTCTTATAAAGTAATCAGTGTGACTAATTAAAATTATTAATAGGGAAACAACAATTCCATAGCCAAGTATACGGATGATAAATTGACTCATCTTAAAATGTATGCATATATGTGCCAAAGCTAGGTTAAAGAACGACATATTGCATGCAATATGTCAAATCTAATGCATTTTACAGAAACATCACAGCCTAAGAATAAAGATTTATTCATTTACATTTTAACTAAACGCTATTGATGCATGATGCTTTTTACAGGCCGTGGATGAAGATGCGGAGTCTCCAAACAACGTCATTGAATACTCCATCATGACCGCAGATCCTGACAATGCATTTGACATCAATGCTGACACTGGCGAGATCAAGCTGAAGCCTTATATTAAGTCTATGGAGATTGTACAGAACATCACCAAGCAGAAGGACTGCAAGTGGTCTGTGGTGGTCGAAGCCAGGGACCGAGGCTCTCCGTCCTTCAGCACAACAGCTGTGGTCAACATCGATATCACAGAGGCGGTAAGACTTGTTCCAACTCGGAGCATGCTTGCAGTGCTTCCTGTCCCAGAGCTGAGCTGTAGACATGCATTTTAACATGAGTCAATAGGGACTGTTGCCATGCTACTATATGCTTCTGCTAAATCAGCGTCCTTGTTTCAGCTAGTCACATTTCACTAAGTTCATCTACTTTAAAGGATAACACTGGAAATTTCTTATAGTTTATTTAAAGATCAGAACTAACAATAAAGTTTCCTACTAAGAAGTGAAAAAAATCCATTAATACTAACTGGACTATCAGGTTCTGAATGCAATCTAATTTGTGGCTTTAAATATGAATTATTACAGAGTTTTAAAACCAATTAACTCTAAATTTGTAGCTTTCCCTTGCAGAACAAAGTTTTATCATAAAAAATTATTTGGACAAAAAAACAGTTTTAACCATTCTGGGATTGATCCACTGAACAGTCAAAGGCCACTTCATTAGTTACACTTTTTCATTTACTGGTTAACACAAATATTTAATCAGCCAATCATTTGGGCTCACCAAATAAGACAAGAGGAGACTCAAAAATGTTGCCTAAACTGATGAGTCACAATTGTTGCTGCAGCATCCAGATGGTGGGTCAGAATTTGGCATGGGCAACATGAATGCATCAATCCATCCTGCCTTGTCAGCAGTTCAGGCTGGTGGTGGTGATGGTGGTGTAATCATATGGGGAAATCTTTTGGCATACTTTGGGTCCCTCAGTACCAAGTGAGCATTGTTTAAACACCACATCCGAGTAATGTTACTGCGCATGTCCATCCCTTTATGGCCAATATGTACCCATCTTCTGATGGCTGTTTCCAGCAGGATAATGTGCCATGTCACAAACCCCAAATCATCTCAAACTGGTTTCTTGGTCATGACCTCCACAGTCATTCAATAGAGAACCTTTGGGATATAGTGGAGCAGAAGATTTGCATCTTGGATTTGACACCAACAAATCAGCAGTAACTGTGTGACGCTATCAAATCAATACAATACAATACAATCAATACAATGCTCTGAGGAATGTTTCCAGCAACTTTTTGAATGTATGCTTTGGATTATTACAACAATTATGAAGGCAAAAGAGCCAAAGCCAACCTAGTGCTGGCAAGGTGTGACTAATGATGTGGCCAGTGAGTATATATGGTCATGGCTACACATTTTACTTGTTGATGGAAAAATTCACACTCATTTTGATCTTTGAAATATTGATATAAACATTAGCATTATCCTTTGAAGTTTTTGCTCATTTGCATTGATCCATATTTTTCTAATACTTTTTGTGTTTTCATCCTGAATCCATTCTTTCACTCTCCATGATGTTTTTGGTTCTGTTTGTGTGTTGTGTATCGTGCTTTTCAGATAAAAGGTCGAGTTGTTTCATACTTCATGGGCCTCAGCAAGCGTCCGCTGACTGTTTTTGGAATTTTTTTGAGCATTCTCACGTCCCTTGTTTTACTAACAATTTGCATATCCACCATCCTGTACTGTAACGCAGTGAAAAAGTCCCGAATCAACCCTGAGAGTAACTACATTAAAGTGGTCCGCAGAGTCAAGTGAGAAATAACCAATGCCTGTCCTTCATTTTCATTCATGAACATTAAAATAATGTTTACTGGCTGGGTTAGGTCTGTAAAAGAGTACTGGAGTACATTGAAAGAAAAGTCTTTTTTATTATTTACTATTTTTATTTCCACAAACTTTTTTGGTCCCATGAACTGGTCATTATTATTGTTTAGCCCTCGTCAGTCAAAGAGAAATCCTAATGCATCGCACTGCCAGACGCATTCCTAAACATTAGAGACATATGTAGTTGCTAGCTTTCCTGTATTGTAGGGCAGAGGATGGATGTCTGGGTGCGAGTGTGAAAGTGCTAGAGTGTTCATAGATATGTTGTTTGGGCCTCCTCTGTCAGTGCTTTGGCATCCAATTTCATGTTTGCATGCTTTTGACAAATACTTGGAATTCAGGTTCAAAATGTTTTATTTATGCTCTTTTACAGACTCCTCTCAAGGGGCCTATGGCAGCCTTTTTAATGAAAAGTAGGGACAATCCTTTAAAAGCTCTAGGCATGGTCACTTTTATCATTAGTGTTTTGGTAGGAGTGACTGTCTTGATCTCTACGGCTATGTACATGCGCAACTCAAAGTCCAACAGGATCATGCCAGCACGCCGCATCATTAAGAGGCGACCCAGGGACCAGCAGCCTTGGACCTTCAAGATACCTGTTATCAAATTCACCAACCCTGGAGAAAAGTTCCTCATAACCAACCCGGAGAGCAGCCTCCAGCAGGAGACAGGCAGCCCCCGGCTGAAGCCTCCACCTCCCATTGCTCCCTGTCTTCCGCCTCCACCTCCCTCTAACGTGCGGCCCAATGAAAGGCTGCGTGCAGTCCCAACAATATCTGGCGCACTGGCATCCAAAGGCTCCAAGAAGGCTAAGTCCAGCCGCCGTAAGGAGGGAAACATCAGCTCTGCTTTAGTGTCGGAGCTTAAAATGAAGCTTGAGCAGAAAATACACGAGAACAACCAAGGTTATTATTAACTTTAATGCACAAATATCTTCTTTGATGGCTCTTAACTCACTTCATCCGAGTTCTGTGTGATGATGAGGTTACGTGAGCCTACCTTTATGTTATTTACAAGCAAACAAAAGAAGAGAGTGGTTTACATAATTATGTCTTAAGACAAGATAGAAGTGGGCTGCAGTGTATTCTCAGTTGACCTGCTTTAGATAAAAACAGGAGACAGCTTGAGTCATCAGTACAGTACTAGATAATTCACCACACTGCCATCTTGAGGAGGATTATCATTTTAACATTAAGAAGCATTACAAGAAATTGAAAGCTGAGAAGTTGCTCTTTTGTATGATGAAAATGTGCCACTGTAGGTTTTCACAGTAAGAGCATCTTGCTTTTATTTTGTTAAGTGAGTAACTGTAGAAAAATGCTTTTATATAAGTGGATGTGGATCTATTTTAATTGTACAGCACTGTAAACATGGCAAAACCGCAGCTGTATCATGATGCAGTAAATACAGCAAAGTCAAAATTAGACCGTCTAACTCCTCTTGAAGGATGTTGTTGATAAAAATCAGTCATATGCTTGAAATTTTTAAGCTCAGATTACTATTTATATAAGCTGCTTGGACACTTAATTCATATGGGTATTTAAATGTAGTGTCAAAAATGTAGGGTCTTTGCACTGCTACTTTCCAGGTTACTTTTAAATGCCTTCAAATGTAGGCAAATACAGTGTCATCACTGCAAGAAATATGATGTTCTTGATTCTATCTTAGCTTACTATTGTAAATAAGTTTAGAAAAACTATATATGTTACATATAAATAACACTTGCCTGGTATTTCAAAGTAACATATTTGTACTGTCTTTGTACTGTCTTGATTTTGAATAAATATTCAAAAATATCTTGGTCTGTGCTCAATTTTGTCCTACTGGTTTGATGTAGTTTTTTAGTTTTTTTGGGTTGTGGTAAAGACACAAAAACTAAGACACTGATTAAAATAAAGAAAACAATACATACATTATTTTTACACAGCAACACTGTCCCCATAGTTGAAAAGTTCACTGCAAATAATGCATTGGCTTAAGTGGACTGGCTTAAGTACAGCGCTTAATTTTGATGTTTTGGTACTTAGAGTTTTTATGGTTAATCTTGCCTTATGAAGATCATAGCAATGCAAGGGGAGGGATCACTAGTGCAAACAAGCGTGGGACTAATGTCAGTCTGTTATGTAATGTAAATCACAATGTTATAGCAGCTGTGCTGTGTTAGTCTCTTGTTGTTGTTGTGAATGTCTAATGTAAATGTCACTGTTTTCATGGCTGAGGGTGGAACTCAACCTGGCTATCGATGAACCACCATGACTAATACTACAGCAGTAAGTGGTAACATGTGGCCACCCTTTCCATGTCCAAATTCCAGTACAGTTGTAGCCATGGGTTTGACCAGTGCATAGAAGTCTTTACCTTCTTTTAATTGATGAGCTTATTGGGGTTATGATGGTAGGTTGTCTACCTCCATCCTATCCCTAACACTCTCTGACATGCCAATCATGAGTATGTTCTCCTCCACTACATTGAAAAATTTTTCTCTATGGTCTTCTTCTGTTCCTTCTGTCTAACCTTTGCTCAATATCTCCAGTATCCCTCCTCTGCACATGTCCAAATCATCTCAGCCTTACCTCTCTAACTTTGTCTCCAAACTGCTCAACCTGAGCTGTCCCTCTGATGGACTTGTTTCTAATCTTGTCCGTTCTAGTCACTCTCAACTAAAGTCTAAGCATCTTCAGCCTCACCACCTGTCTTCTTGTCAGGGTCACTGTCTCCAAACCAAACATCATAGCAGATCTCACACCCCTCTTGTAAACATTCCCTTTCATTCTTGCTGCTATCACAATTCACCCCTGACACTCATCTCCACCGGCTTCATGGTGCCTACACTGTCTTCTTTATCTCTCGTGTGCACTGTCCATTGCTTTGAATAGCCGATCCCAGGTATTTAAACTCATCCAACTTCACTATCTCGACTCCTTGCGTCTTTACCTTTCTACCAGCCTACCAGGTTTCAACGTAACTTTATTCTTTCATGAGTTATTTACAAGTTTCTGACCACTTATAAAATGTGTTCAATGTGCTGCCCATTGTGTTGGATTGTCAATGCAACCCTCTTCTCCCACTGATAGCAACACCGCAGGAGAAATGCCAGCACAGGCATCCAGTATCCGTAGTTTCAGGTGCTGCACATCTCGTATCTTCACACCATAGACAATCGCCTTCAGATGACCCCAAAGATAAAAGTCTAAGGGGGTCAGATCAGGAGACCTTGGGGGCCATCCAACTGGCCCACGACGAACAATCCACTTTCCAGGAAACTGTTCATCTAGGAATGCTCGGACCTGGCACCCATAATGTGGTGGTGCACCATCTTGCTGGAAAAACTCAGGGAACGTGCCAGCTTCAGTGCATAAAAAGGGAAACACATCATCATGTAGCAATTTCAAATATCCAGTGGCCTTGAGGTTTCCATTGATGAAGAATGGACCCACTATCGTTGTACCCTATATACCACACCAAACCACTCTCCAGTGACGTGCAGCGAGTGCTATGCTGTGGGTTCTTGCTGAATGAAGCTAGGACAGCCACTGATGTTTCTTCATTAGTGACAGTTTTCTTGCGTCCACATTTTGGCAAATCCAACAATGAACCAGTTTCACGAAACTTAGCAAGCAGTTTGCTAACTGTGGTGGTCTCGTCGGGTGTCTTGCATTGAAATCTGCTGCAATAACCCGGTTATTGCATTCACCAGATATCAACACAATTTTGATCCGCTCCTCACATGTTAACCTCTTCGACATGTCAATGGCTGTGAACAAAGAGAAACTTGTAAATAACTCATGAAAGAATAAAGTTACGTTGAAACCAAGCACACCATTGTTTTTCTTGTGACATTACCAATAAGTTTGATGTGTCACATGGCCCTCTTCCTATTGAAAAAACAAAAGTTGTATCCAAGATGGCCACCATGGTCACCACCCATCTTGAGGAGTTTGCCCCCTCACATATACTAATGTGCCACAAACAGGACTTTAATATCACCAAACATTCCCATGTTATTACGGTGTATCCATATAAATGGCCCACCCTGTACTTCTCCAGGCTTTCTTGCACCTGCTCCCTACTCTCACTACAGATCATAGTCTCATCTGTGAACATCACAGTCCACAGAAACTCCTGCCTGATCGCATCGGTCAACCTGTCCATCACCACTGCAAACAAGGTGCTCAGGGATGATCCCTGATGTAATCCTACCTCCATCTGTTACTCCAATAGCACCTTTCCTCACAGTCTTGCTACCCTCATGTATGTTCTAAAAACCATGTCTTCACTCACTAGTATATTTGCATCTCTAACCTTATTCACTTACGGTAATCTACTGCACATCCTTTCCAGCTCGATTTCTGCCTCTAGCCAACTAGTACAAGTCCTTTTCAAGACTTTCTTGGCTTGGTTTTTTCTCAATCTTTCCAGAATGTCTGGAATGTGAACAATTTCTAAAATACTTTACTGATAAAATTCTATCTCTCAAATCCTCACTCCCCCCAGTGGTGAGCCTTGCTCTCACTGGAGAATGTGCTTCTACTTTTCAACAGTTTGAGCCAGTGTCACTCTGTACACTTAAGCAAATTGTCAAGCAACTGAAAATTACTAGTTCTGCATATGAACCTCTTCCGTCTCGCATTGTGAAGGACGGCTTTGATGTAATTGGGCCCAGTATTCTATTTTTAATGAACTCATCATTGTCTTCTGGCTATGTTCCCTCTGTTTTTAAACATGCTATAGTGCAACCTGCTCTCAAAAAAAGGTGTCTTGACCATTGTGATTTTGTTAATTATAGGCCGATATCCAAACTTCCATTCCTCTCCAAAATCCTAGAGAAGATAGTTCTCTCGCAACTCCAGGCTTACCTGGATGCGCATGACATCTGTGATAAATTTCAGTCTGGTTTTAAACCACGCCACAGCACTGAAACAGCTTTGCTGAGAGTCCTTAATGATCTTCTCTTAATTACTGATTCAGGGCATTCTGTTGTATTAGTCTTATTGGATTTGTCCTCAGCTTTTGATATGGTTGACCATAATATCTTATTAACGAGGTTAGAACGCACTGTGGGCATTCGGTGTGAAGCCCTTAACTGGTTCAAATCATACCTTTTGAACAGGTCTTTCTCCGTTACCATGGGTACTTATTCTTCCTCAACTGCATCCTTATGCTGTGGTGTGCCCCAAGGCTCTGTACTTGGCCCAATGTTATTCTCATTATATATGCTCCCCCTAGGCTTAATCTTTCTCGAATGCATGAGAGAAGTCAGAGAATGGCTTTCAGGCAATTCCCTTATCCTGAATGATAAGAAAACGGAAATTGTGGTGTTTGGCAACCATATCCCTTGGGGCCTATTAGCTGATACCTTTGGTTCCTTTGCCACTTCTTTCTCTGACTCAGTTAGTGACCTAGGTGTCCTGCTGGATAGCTCTTTCAAATTTAACAAACAAGTGTCCTCAATAATCAAATCTAGCTTTTACCAACTGCGCCTTATTGCTAAGGCTAAGCACTATGTTCCTCATAAAGATCTTGAAAGGCTCATTCATCCTTTTGTGACTTCTAGATTGGATTACTGTAATTCTCTCTCCTTTGGTCTTCACTCCGCTCTCCTTCACAGACTCCAGCTTGTCCAAAATGCGGCGGCTCGCCTCCTGACTGGCACTAGAAAGCATGCCTCTATCACCCCTGTTCTTATTGATTTGCATTGGCTACCCATAAAATATTGCATTGAATTTAAAATATTGTTGCTCACCTTTAAAATTATAAATAATTTAGCCCCTCGTTATCTTGTCGATCTTCTT